TCAGGTCATGGTCCCAGGGTCCTGGGATAGAGCCCCGCATTGGGCTCCCTGCTTGGCGGGAAGCCGGCTTCTCCCTCTCCCACTCCCCCTGCTTGTGTTCCCTCTCTCACTATGTCTCTGTCAAATAAATAAAATCTTCAAAAAAAATTAGTGTAAAGCCTTACCTCATCATCAATCTTCATCTGGAAATCTTCCTCATTTTCTTCTTCTGGAGCAAAAAAGGACTTCTCACCATAGCCAGCATCCTGGAAGAGCACAAATCTAAGCACAAACCAATCAATAAATCGGAAAACACAAAGTACAAGTTTCATTAAGTACCAAGTACAGATTATCAAAGTACATTTTTGCATACAGAATGGATTCTGTAAAGTCTTCATTGTCTCTGTCACCACTCTACATCCTTAGGCTATCAGAAGATATATTATATTTCAGGGAACTTGCCAGCTGATATATGGATAGTTAAGGCCCATAAAGGAAGCTAAGTAGAGATGCTCATTACTGCAGACTCACTAACTCAGTGGTATAGCTGCGCTATCTCACCCCGGCTAGATCTTTCCTGTTTGGGCCTCAGAAGGATATTGTGCTTCTCTATAGCACATGTCCAGCACCATCACCTCTGCCCACCTGGAAGGCTATGGAAAACAACCTTGAAGTATTTGCCCTATTTACATACCTGTCCTGTAAAGAACAAAGTTTAAAGTCACCACCCAAACGGATGAAACAATATTTCATTGTCCCTCGTTAAGCCTTCCCGATGATACTTAGCTATGCTGTAGTTTTCCTCAGAACCAACATACACAGAGTACCTCAGAGCCTGAATTTTTAAGTAACCGGTTAATAATCTAGTAAGCATTGTTTCTAAGCCAGTGAGGACAGTCTTCATCCTCATCTCTCTGAAACAAACGCACGGGCACAGGCAGCGCCTAAGAGGAAGGTGTTCACCTTCAGTCGCTGCTCTGCAGCTATCATGCTATAATAAGCACAGCACTGCTCTGGAGACACCATAGCTCTGATCTCCTCTTCAGTTGGTAAACGAAAATCAGACTTCAACACCCACCAGTTTGAGTCCATCCCTAGAAAAAAAAGTAGAGAGAATGAGACCATTCTGCATTCCAAAGGCCCTTCCACTGACAGCAACAAGGATAACAAACCGAGACTGAACCACGCAATGTCCCAGAAGGTCTAGCCACAGTTAGCCTGACTGCCGAAGAAAACCCCTGCTGCTAGGTTTCCTGCACCTCATGACATCGAACATACAATGAATTTCCTGGCAGGCACAAATCAAAACACAATCAGAGCCTCCATAATTAGATTTACTACTTCCCTCTTTTGAAGACTATCAATTTCTAAATCTGTGAGCTGTATGCTTATCCTTTCATTGAAAGCCATTAATTCCTTTCTTAGAAAGAGACAGAAAGAACAAATAATTAGTCACAAGTGATGACCTGTGCGTTTGAAGTCAGCGCAGAGCTTTAGCCTCTTCCGGATGCTACTTTCTGAGTGAGAAGGAAAGGCTTTTTTTATATCTTCCATTCGGATCCGCCGTGGCCGATCTTTACTCTTCCAGAAGAGGCGGTAAATAAAAACCTGCCCAACAAACCGAATGTTTTCATTTGGCAAAACAGAGGACAAAAGTGCTCGCCAGGGCTCCTTCCCCTGCTAAGCCCCTATGTATTTTGATCTTTCCTGATGTGCCCCCAAATCCACAATACCCTGTTATGTGCATCCTGACCCACCTCCCTATTCTGACATTCTTACCTGGAGAAAGTCTCGAATATGTGTATTAGCCCTTTTGGAGTTGGGTCCAGGAACTTCAAACAAGGGGCACTGCTGGCCGACCACAAAAATATCCACTAATTCCCGAATATAGTAACCTTGTCTTGTCCGAATGATAAGGAAGTCAGTTTCTGGCATCTTATGAAGGTAAATTGGGGCACGAAAAAGATTGTTCTCAAATGCCTACCAAAAGTAAAAACACAAAAGTTATATACAAAGAAGCCCTAGGAAATTTAGTCAACTAAGGAGAAAGGAAAATCAAGCTTGTTTGCTCTCCATCCCCATAATGCCGTCTAAAACCTATCCAGTAATATAAACAAACTGGAATATGGAATGTCAAACAGGATTAGAAAGTAAATTTTTACCCACTGGCTACCTTTAAGAGTCAGTAGTAGGGAATCTACAGGATTTGGATTCAGATGACACTGACTCTGCTACTCACTGTATTATGTCAGATTAGTTATTTAATACCTCTGAGCTTAACTGTCCTCATCTACAAAATAGAGATACTTTAAAATGCCTATACCTTGCAGGACTGCTATGATTATATATGACAATGACTCCGTAAACTAACAAGTACTATATTACTACCCTAGGCCCAGCATAGCTCCTGACAGAACGCAGGTAACACCAAAACATTTGTTAAATAAATTAATAAAATGACAAAACCAAAACTAATGGGAGTAGAAAGTGTGCTAGAAAAGACAGACTAAACACACAGGACAGAAACATTTGAGCTTAAGTAGCAGCCAGATAGGGACCACTCAAGCCTGTGATTCGAGAGAAAGACTTCCCGGAAAATCAGAAAGGAGGACAGAAACAAAGAAAACCTTCAATATATGGATGTGGATAGAAAATTCTAAGTGTGGGGGGAAGAAAAGAAAATTTTAAGCGTGAAATGGGGAGAAAAACAGAATTACAGAAGATAAAAGAGGGTTTTCTTTAAAGATTTTATTTATTTATTTGACAGAGAGCGGGAGAGAGAGTGAGAGAAAGCACAAGCAGGGGGAGCAGCAGAGGGAGAGGGAGAAGCAGACTCCCCACTGAGCAGGGAGCCTGATGCAATGCGGGCCTCAATCCCAGGACCCCGGGATCAGGACCTGAGCCAAAGGCAGACGCTTAACCAATTGAGCCACCCAGGCACCCCGATAAAAGAGGATCTTTAAGAGACTATAAAAGCAGCCACAACAGAAAGTTATAGGGAGAGGAAGGCCAGGAACAGTCTAAAGATGCTTTGGGAGAATAAGCAATAGTAGTAATAGAATACACTAGCTGTAAGAGGAGGAAAAGTGGTTAAGACTACCAAGAGAAATAGAGGACAAAAAAACAAGGTAGGACAGTGCTAGAGATATCCTCACATCATTCATGCACCTCTGTACTTCCCTTTAACAAAACATGTAAAAGCTCTGTTATCAGAGGGCCTCTCTACACCCATCAGAACAAAAGGGGGGGGCGGGAAACACTTTACTATGGTTAAGGACTGTAAATGGCATGGTTCAGGTGTGCTTTAATACCTCAAAATGATCATGACTAATACAATGAAAATACACCAATTCTGCAGATACACATTAAATACTCATTAGTTAACTACAGTAAATTATTAATCCCAGGTTGACTTCCGTATGCCACCCAGATGTTTCTAGACTTCTTACCAGTGTGTGTTTTCCAAAAACTATTTCAAATTTAGTTTACAAATAACATTATTAGGAGCCAATTTTAAAAAAAAAGATCAAAAGAAAATTTGGGGACTATAATCATTTGGGGATTATACTGATCCTCCCCATACTTCATATATAAATAGTACCTCAATCAACTAGAATTGGCTCTTTCTGGGCTCACGAGCTCCTCACCTGTCAAGTTCCCTAGGAAAGAATTGTTAACAGGAAAGAATCCCTCACCTGCAGTAATTGGCCAGGATGGAGAGAGCCCAGGAAGGGAGATGTATGGCAGTAAACAGTTTCTCCGTATTTACAATCTGGGGCTCCAGGATCTTTTCCAGGTTTCTAGAAGGGACACAGAAGACCCAGTTACTATCACAGACTAGAATCAATAAACCTACACAAAATATTCCTTGAGCATAGCATTTCAGCTATATTACCCACTACAAAAAAGATACCATTTCTTTCTCCCAAAAAATTTACAGCATAAAAAAGACAAAATATATGTTCGCAGACTATTGCTGGATATGTAATGACAACTATATTAGTAACAAATGTTTTCTCAGACACTCACCCGCTTATAGTAGTTTTTTATCTTGGTTGCCATGCCAACCTGCATCATTAATGGTCCATTTTCCTCACTGTATTCTGCAAGAATAAGATCTCCATCTTTGCCTGTGAGGTCCTGAGGTGTGCGCATAAAAAACATCTCTCCACCACCAGAAGCTTGTCTCTCTTGTTCTCTCATCTGCCCAGAACAAAGAGAATACAGTTCAGCTCCTGACGGGACGAGAACTGCAAACTGATGTTCATTCTGGAACTATGACACCAAAAATGATTTTGCCTTGCCTTTTTTTAAACTTCATTGTAAAAGTTTTCAACCATGAAGTTGACACTATGACCACTTACTATCCCACCACCTAGATATACCTTTATATCTTACATTATTTGTTTTATCTAAAATTATCTCTACAGATTTTGCTAAATCATTTTTTAAAGATTTTATTTATTTGACAGAGAGAGAAGGCGCGTGCACAAGCAGGGGGAGCGGCAGGCAGAGGGAGAGAAGCAGGCTCTCTGCTGAGCAGGGAGCCCGATGCAGGGCTCGATCCCAGAACCCTGGGATCATGACCTGAGCCGAAGGTAGACGCTTAACCGACTGAGCCACCCAGGCACCCCCTGAATCATTTTTGAAAGCTGCAGTCATCATGACACTTCACCCTTAAGTATTTTCACATGCATCCCCTAAGAATAAGGATATTCTCCTAAATAACTATAATAACATTCCATCTGAGAAAAAAGTAATTCCCTAATATCATCGATAATATCATGTCTGTTTCCCCAATTTGTACTCTACCATCTTTTACAGCTGTTTTTTTTTTTTTTTTCCCCTAAACAGAGTTCAGTCATACCTTAGCCTTCTTTTTGATGTGTTTTAGCAAGGGCTGGACTGAATGGGGACCTGGCTGAGAGAGTGCCCCGAAGGAGTACTTCTTCAGAGGTGGGCGATGGAACTGCCGAAGTTTGATGGGCCCCATATGGGTAGGAAAGAAGGGCTGTCTTAATTCCACAGCAGGAATCGAGTGCTAAGACAGGAAATACAGGGTTCAAATTAAATACTAACTCCAGCCTAGGCAAGATTTACCCATATCCTCCATCAAAACAAGGCAGTGTTTCCCATCCATCACAGAAAAAAATGCTACCTGTACCTGGATAATATTTCCTCCAAAGGTGCCTCGAAGACCCTGCTGCTTAGGGTAGTAATATTCATCATTGGAGAGATTCCATGGATCTTTCACTTCTGGCTGAGACATGTTCTAATGATGGGATATCAAAGTGATATCAAATAAACCTTAGTCAGACTACCCGTCTCCCATTACCTTTCTCTGCTCTTCTAAACACCCTGGGGTCCCCTCTCCCTCCGCAGACCTGCTGTGGTTCCTCTTTGATGACCCCCGTTTTCCCTAACAGAATTCGACTCTTCTTCAGAGATGATTCCTTCTTACTTTCCTTGGAAGGGGAGTTGGAGGTGGCCTCTTCCTTTTCGTCAGGAATTTCTAAGGATGAAACAAACATCACTCTGGAGATACTATCCCTGAAGATTCACCTTCCCAACAGGTATCTTTGCACTTCCTAACCAGATCTCTTATCCCACCCCAGACCACTTCTAGTAGGTGATTCAAACAAACTACACCCCTGGAATCTCAAAGGTACTACTTTTCAATATTCCTACATTATGAGTTTTCCCTAAGCAAAACAGAAATACTAGAAACAGCCACAACTTTGCTCGCTCAACTGCTACCTAAAAGTTCTAGTCTTTTTAATTTACTTTTAAAAGTAGGCTCCACACCCAATAGGAGGCTGAAACTCACGACCCTGAGATCAAGAGTCACCTCTCCACTGAATGAGCCAGCCAGGCGCCCCCGAGAAGCTTCTAGTCTTGACCTTCCCAACCTTTCTGATCTCCCCGTCCCTTGACATTAGCAGCAAGCTGTCAATTATGGAAAAGGAACACTGGTCCCTGCCAATAGCATACCCAAAATGAGGTTCTCATCATTGGGATCAAGTGTCAAAACAGGAGGTTCCAACAGCCGGGGCATGGCCTGAGCATCCCAAATGATATTGTCCTCCCAGCGTCCATACACCAGCTCCTCATTGTCAATGGGAAAGATAGAGTACCAAGGCTTGTCATCATCCAGGGTGGCTGCAAAACCTACTCAGAAGAGGAGGAAACACTCAATGAGACAAAACAACTATGCCCCCCCTTTTTTTCTTAAAGATTTTTTATTTATTTATTTGACAGAGAGAGAGAGACAGCAAGAGAGGGAACACAAGCAGGGGGAGTGGGAGAGGGAGAAGCAGGCTTCCCGCGGAGCAGAGAACCCGATGCAGGGCTCGATCCCAGGACCCTGGGATCATGACCTGAGCCGAAGGCAGACGCTTAATGACTGAGCCACCCAGGCGCCCCAACTATGCCCCTTTCAATCATGATTCCAGCAAAGGGAAAAAGAGCAAATGTTAGTAAAGTTATTCATGCAGCTACTGAAAAGAAGCCTAGTGCATACAGTGTATTTCTCCCTTTAAAAATAGTTGCAGACAAAATGTTCACTGCAATATTTTTCATAAGACTCAAAATTTAAACAGCCAAGTGTGTTTAATAAGGGACTGGCTAAAGAAATCGTGGTAATAAATGATATGGTAAAATATACTAACAATAAATGCTAGTAAGATATATATAAAAAATACAATAACTATTGGTGAATTATGAAAACATCCATTTAAGAATACAATGCAACCAGCAAAGCTTTTAGATAGAACGAGAGAAGGAAAAAAACCTCTTCCTTAGATTTAAGAATCAAGACATTTTTGTTTTCCTCCAGATTATAGAAGTAATCCAGGGTAACTGAAGGGAAATACAGAAAAATATAAAGGAAACTGAAGCTGTCTGTGATCTCACAAACCAGAAATAACCACTGTGAATCCCATAGTGCATTTCCTTTCAGTCAGCTTTCTATGATTATATAGTGTGCTTTTTTTTTTTCCCACTTACAAAACAGGTTATCATATATGCCACTTTATGTTTTTTTTACTTGAGTTTCCATGTCATTAAACATTTTTATGAAAAACTTTGGATGACATAGAATAATACTGTTATCAAGTGAAAAGCACAGTATACAAAACTGTCTACAGAAATGAGCTCAACTACATACACACACAGAAGACAGAAAACCAAAGTACACCGAAAAGTTAAAAGTCGATCATCTCTGGATAGCTGGATTCAGTGATTTTTGACACTGTCTTCTGTTTTCAAAGTTCTCTACATTAAGCATGACATACCTTTTTTTTTTTCTTTTTGCATACTTAAGGAGAGAAAAAGCAAATTCTAGCATGATAAAGACAAAGGGGCTGGCTTTAAAAACAGAAGTAGACCATAGAGATAAAGCCTTGTTCTAGTTCGGAAAGACCATTAACTTCAAAGTGGTTTTCACATTTTTCTAATGAGAAATCAGAGTCCACCCTAGCTTGTAAATAGTGTACAACTTTGGGGCGCCTGGGTGGCTCAGTCGTTAAGCATCTGCCTTAGGCTCAGGTCATGATCCCAGGGTCCTGGGATCGAGCCCCGTGTTGGGCTCTCTGCTCAGCGGAAAGCCTGCTTCTCCCTCTCCCACTCCCCCTGCTTGTGTTCCTTCTCTCGCTGTGTCTCTGTCAAATAAATAAATAAATCTTAAAAAAAAAAAGTGTACAACTGATTACGGACTAGAATCAGGGCTCAGGTTGAAACCATTCTGCTGCCCCTCAGCAGCAGCAGAGAGCACAGCTGAACCCCCTCAGGATGACGGAGATGAAGGGCAGTGTGCTAGACATGGCCGGCACAGAAGCGCACCTTGCTGAACATTGTAGGCCATGGCATTCCTGGTCATGCTGGAAGGCAGCCAGCCTGCCAGGCTTGCACGCTGAGGTTTTGTTCCTTTGTGTTTGACATCTTCCCCATCCCAGATGATATCATCTTCCCAATGCAGCTGTGTCACCATCAGGAAGTTTTCATCAGCCAAAAGGTCAGCGCTGTTTTCCTCAAGTTTCCTGAAGTCCTACAGAAACGGAGAAGGAATAACAAATCCCTGAATGGTCACTGGTCAAAGTTCCCACTCCAGATCCCCCATCAGACACATCGAATGTGGTCCCTGACTTGAAAGAACCTGATGATGGAGCAATGTCTGCCTCTTCCCACTCCTGGTCCAGCGCAGCACTCACTGTCCAAACAGAACCCTTACAATCGGGCCTAGTTGCCAGGGCAACATACCTCAACAAGAACAAGGCTTAGAACCTCCATCTCTCACCGAAGACACCCTGCCCGGTATCTCCCCAACTAGAAAGCAAAGTTAAGTAAAACGGAGAGGGCCCTGGGCACAGATGCCTTTCTTACATATCAGCGTCGCTTACCTCCATCACTCTACATTTCATCACAGGTTCGTGGTCCATTTTTCTCAGTTTGAAGCCATAATCAAACCCACTGCCATCTTCAGGGACACCCAGCATATCATACCACAGTCGAGCAGGCCCGTAACGCCACTCAGCCACTCTTGGTTTGGTATCGGTCACTTTATCTGTATCTCCAGTGGACTGGGAAAACTTGGACTCAACAGGAGCCATCATTGTAATCTGTAACAGAACAAAGCAGGAGGGGAGGAGGCTTTCCTGATCCCAGATGTCCCAGGACTAGAGGGAGTCCACAGTCAGGAAGGGAAGTCAGAGGAACTATAAGGATGATTCTTCAACAGGACTGGAATTAGAATGGGAACAATGGAGCTAGATCAGGGCACACTCTGCCTATCATTCAAACTCCTATTCACCAGTGTGTGTACCACCAACTGCAGGCCCACAATACTTTTCTACTCTAATAGGGAAGGAACAGCCACTAAGACCGAACTCACGATTACTTGTTCATAATCAGCACAGGACTCTGCCTGCTAAGGTGGTATTTCCAATTTAGACATAAGCTAGGGAGAACTCATTTGTTCCTCTTGTAGGTCTCAATCCCAGGTCTCTATTTTGCCTACTTCATCATCAGAGAGACACTGCTCTGGAGGCGGTGGTGGAGCGTAGTCATAGTTCCACAAAGACTTCTGGCTGACTTCTGACTCTACTGAGCACTCCACCTCCTGGATCTGCTCTTCCTGTATCAGCTCCCGGTGCTTCTTTTTCCTCTTTCTCCGAGCACTCCGCCAAACAGATGGGACGTTCTTCCCTGGTCCGAAAAGACGTAGGAAGCGTAATACCTAGAACACAGAGACTCAAAGACTCAATTATCAGATAGGAAAACAGCAGCATCCGGGTCTGCAAACTCCCTTGAGGGGTCTACTCGGCTGTGGAGGAGGGACTGAGGAGTGCTGAACTCAGAGTTACAACATCTACCAAGGAAGTAAAGAAGCATCCCTTAACAATTTGGACTAGTTCTTTTAAGGCAACAAGGACAATTTCTAACGAGAACTACATAAATCACAAGTATTATCATCAATGCATACGACTTTTTTAAAAAGACCCAATACAATGTCATTGAATAAGAAAACTTTTAGATCTTATCCATTCTATATTCAATATCTTAGCAACAGAGCTCAGCATTTAGGAGAGGTCAGTGGTTTGCAATGTGGGCATTCTCCATGGAAAGTACCTTCCCAGGCCGAAATTCCGGGAAAAGTTCTGTGACGCTCGGCAACAGCTTGGTGGCATCATGCTGCATAATCCCAGCCAATGGTAGGGTCAGCTTTCCATCTTCAGATTCTGCCTGTGTTGCTTCTTGAGGTCCCATCTCAGATTCTGAGTCAGAGGAACTACTGAAGTCCACTTTCTCTGAGGCCAAAGAGGAAGGGGCAATGATGGAGGGCAAGATGATGCCTTCTCCATCCTCAGACACTGCAACAAGGAAGAGAAACCCCTTTGGCATGTAACTGTGAGCATATTTCCTCCGATTCAGCCAGTACCCACTCTAGGCTATATGCATGGCTCAGTGGCAGGGGATATAGTTCCAAGCACCCAGATCACTAGGTATGCAACCCAGAAAACTCATTCCAACTCATTATCTCCCACCATCCCCAACTCACCTTGTACCCGGTACCCTAGGGTTGTGATGAGAGAAAACAAACACTATTACTACATTTACTACTTTCTATACATATATTAAAGGAATGTGATCAATAGCAAAACTATATGACACTTTTATACCAATCGGGCCTTATCATTTCTAGTTCGGGGACCCATAAACTGAAGAATTTTTTTTTAAGCCCACAGGATGATAATGAAATTGTTTAACATAAAATAAGATCCAGGACATAAAGTTATCAGATGTTATTTAGCCTGCAGACTAATGCAGAAATGGTGAAAACTCTACCAGGAGAAATTTAGGCTAACATAATTCTCAAAATACAGGAGATGAAAAGCACTGCTTTCCGCAATCTCCTAGCCTAGGACAGAGTTACTAGTGGCCGACACAGGAAAGGTGGAGAAGATCACTAAAGCCCTTGCCTTGGAAATCTCTGAATCTGGTAGTTGGCTCTACATGATTTATGCACATTCTAGGATGCCTTCTCCATTTAATCCTTTCTTTTAAAGAAAATCATCTAGACAGGTAGTTTCCAAATACTAGCATGCAGATCAGTTGCATCAGCAATGACTGGGAGAACACCTGGAAATTCCTGGGCTCTATCCCAGATCTTCAGAATCAGACTCTCTGGGTGAGTCAGAAATCTGTATATTTTTTTTTAAAGGCTTGGGATGATTGTGATGGGCAGCCAGATTTGAGAACCACTGACGTAAACTACTTTTTCTTGAGTACCTGTTAAAATACTGTTGCCAAATGTTTTAAAAGTAAAACTTCCCTTTGACATTAACATTTGAAAATTGTATGAATCACTTCCAGAAGTTGTATCCTCTCCTAACTGCTTAATCTTAATAGCTCCCTATGGGTATGTCAAAAGCCTAGATCTATGAATGGAACTTTTCCTTGGACAAAAGAAGACAGTCTCTACTTACCACCAGCAAGAGCATCCTGGTCTTTATCCTTCTTCATTGGTCCTGGAGGTGGAGGTGGAGGAGGCATCAACTTGCAGTCAATGTCTTCACAATCAGCATCATAGTCATCTTCATCATAATCTAATGAAACCAGCAAGATGATCCCCTCAACATCCAGAAGGTCGCACAACAGCCCCGAGTTTGTTACGCAAGAATTTAAAGCACCACATGAAACACTATACAGATCCCTTAAGAACACACAGGAGGTGCAGCTTCGCCTTCAGAAAGAGATGATGACACAGTATCACCAAATACTAGAACACTATGTATACCTCATATAGAAACTGAGGGAGGTCCCAAGAACCGTTTAAAACCTTTGTTCCTTCTCCCGATCAAATCCTATTTGATTTTTTATTTTCATCCTGCTCAATCTCATAATTGAATTTAACATTCTTCCTTCTCTGTCAGTTTCCTTTAAGACTGAACTTTCTCTCTTCCCACTCCCCAAATCTTTGACACACTTTTTTTGTCTACCTTCTGCAGTTTGTTAGTCTTTTCACTGACCTTTAATCTCTGGCATCACTCAACACCTGACGGTGAACACTCTTTTATTCCTCTACACAAGCTCCATTCCCTTACTCAAGAATCACCCTTATCCAGATTGAATCACCCTTATCCAGATTAAGCCCAGATCTGTAGGTCTTGCCCTGACTTACCCCTCTACAGTCACACCGCATGTTCTGCCACCTAAAGAACCTTTCCACTCAAGGGCGCCTGGGTGGCTCAGTTGGTTAAGTGTCTGCCTTCAGCTCAGGTCATGAGCCCAGGGTCCTGCGATGGAGCCCCGCATCAGGCTCCCTACTCAGCAGGGAGTCTGCTTCCCCCTCTCCCTCTGCCTCCTTCCCCTGCTCATGCTCTGTCCCTGTCTCTCTCTCTCTCAAATAAATAAACTAAAAATATATATTTTTTTAAAAAGAACCTTTCCACTCAGATATTCCACAACTGCATCTCTCATCACACTGAAATATCCTTCTCCTCTTTAAAACTCCCTTTCCTTACTATCAATACCACCTCCAGCCTCATTTTCCCAGCTTAAGACTTTAAGTCTCCTGTCTCCTCCATCAATCTCTTACCCCCCAACACAGCTTTTCCAATCAATCATTAATAGTAGTCATTACAGCAACTTCCATTTACTTAGCTCCCATTATATGCCAAGTACCTGTAGTTATTTTATCTATAATCCTCCCAAGAATGTTGGCAAAGTAGGAATTATTCTGAGATAGTGAAATGACTTACTTAGGGTCACAAAGTTTTGTTTTTTTTTTTTTTTTTTAGATTTTATTTATTTGAGACAGAGAGAATGAGAGAGAGAGAGCACATGAGAGGGGGGAGGGTCATAGGGAGAAGCAGGCTCCTTGCTGAGCAGGGAGCCTGATGCGGGACTGATCCAGGGACTCCAGGATCATGACCTGAGCCGAAGGCAGTCGCTTAACCAACTGAGCCACCCAGGCGCCCCAGGGTCACAAAGTTTTAAATGACAAAGTAAGGCTGGTTGAACAACAAAGCCTATACTCTTTCCAATGTACTTCCTCACTTACCAAGTCCTACTGATGTTTTATCAGCAACTCTCAAGTTTAATTCTGCTTAGCATTTTCCACAATTGTCACCCTACTCGAGACCTTGATGACTTTACATCTAGCCTGCAAGAACAGTCTCCAAGTTAGTCTGCCCCTTTACCCCTTTTCTAATCAAAACCCCAAAGCAACAAGTATCACTTCTCATTTTCATTTAGGAAGGAAAGGCAACTAATATTTACAGAGCATCTACCATGACACTGTACTATGTAGGTGCTTTCAGTCCCCGTGATAATGAACTTAAATTCCCACATAAGACCCATTAATGAGGTATTATCATCTTTATTCCAGACTAGAAAACTGAGGTTTTATTACAAATCCAAGCCTCAAAGACTGAGCAACTTTCCCAGGTTCAAACTAAATATGGTGCTGGGACTTGAACCTATCATTCTGACTCCAAAGTCCATTTTCTTTTCATTATACCACCCTGCCCCTTACTCAACAATCAATGTTGATATACAATCCTTTATGACATCAAATCCCAAGTAAGGCATACATACAAGTGCTGTCAAATTACTCTATCCTTGGTCCTTGCTATCTAGGGTATGTTTTCCAGTCCTTTCAAGAAAACCTGCTGGCCAAGTCCCCCTGCACCTATTCCTTATTTCTATCTCCAAACCTTTAGACAAGCCATGTTTTCAAACCAAAATGCCCTGCTGCTTCCTCTCCATGAAACCCTTTCAAACTTTTGCTCAAAATTCACCTCCATGACATCTTTTCTAATGACCTCCACCCACTTCCAATTATTCCAAAGAAGAATCCTTGTAAATCAAGCCATGTGAAGGGGCCAATGCCAGAGAAGGAAGAAGTTAGGACACAGGTGAAGGCACCTTCATTGAATAAGAGAACTTGGAAATAAGCATCCCAGAGTACTAAGACTACCAAATGCAGCATCCTCCTTTTCTAGGAGGTCAGCTCATAAAAACCAACTAGGACACCCCCACTCGTCCTCTTCCTTAACATCCCTAGCCAAGACAACAAACCCAAACCTGAAAATTCCAGTATTCCCTGAAAATCAGAGCTGCTACCACCTCCCCCTTAGCCTAAGCCACGGTACTCAAAAATAACAGTTCGGTACTCAAAAATAAGTTACAATATTTGTCTCAGATATTCTGTCAACCTCTTGAAATGAAATACACTACTCTATACAGAAACATGAGCTTGTAGCTGGCTTATGTCTTTTTATTATGAGTAATTATGCTTCGTGTTTGTTTATCCCATCTTCCCCAAATGATAATAATATCCCTGAGAGTGAGACCTGTATCTTCTCTTCTTCTGGGTTACCTCCTGTGTATGTGGTACGGTTAAGTCTCGCTCTATAACAAGCACTCAAATCCATCAACTGGTCCCGAAATCTAATTCAAAGAGGTGGACAATGAACAATGAGCAACCTCATACAAAAGTGTCAAGAAGTGAGAGGTAGTGTAAGGCAGTGGAAACAATTATATATGTGTCAACTATACCTCAATTAAAAGTTGTAAAAAATTACAAGTCAAAAAAAAGGAACTATGATCAGTAGCTCTAGGTTCCAGACCACAGAACTAAGCTCAAGATCAGAAAATGGATTTTATTATCTTTGTACCATACTATCATAGTTTATAGCCCATAATAGCTCAATAAATGTCTAATAACCTGAATTATTGAATTAGTCAAGGTCTGCCACTACCTAACTTATAGAACTTTTAATAAAGTCCCACATCTTATTAAAGACCAAGTTTTCTTTATCTGTGATGAGGTTAATAATAATCACTAAGAGCCCTTCTAGCTCTGATTCTGATTCTATATGTAGCACCTTATACCAGGGAGAGAAACCTATATTGTGAGCAAGCATTAAATGCATTCTGTCAGCATATAGGTGGTGAGTGATTAATAGAAGTTGAGCCAATAGGGCACCTGTGTGGCTCAGTTGGTTACGCAACTGCCTTCGGCTCAGGTCATGATCCTGGAGTCCCAGGATCGAGTCCCACGTCGGGCTCCCTGCTTAGCGGGGAGTCTACTTCTCCCTCTGACCCTCCCCCATCTTGTGCTCTCTCTCTCTCTCTCAAATAAATAAAATCTTTTAAAAAAAAAAAAGTTGATCCAATAAATATGTGTGCTCATTTATATATGACATTGTATATACTTAATCCTCCTTGAACCACCAAGTCCTTAAGAGCAAAGACTGAGTTCAAGTAATATCTAAAACAGTGCCATGAACCCTGTAGGTACTCAAATACTAGATGATAAGGAAAGCACTATCATCCTTACTTGGCATTCACCAAGAATTTGGGGATAACCAATATGAGGAATAAACATCTGAGTATAACACTGCCCCAGAACACAAAAAAAAGACAGCAGCTACATGGAACTGAGCTGACAAAAAGAGAGAAGCAAAGGATGGAGAGCAGGAACAATGGCAGAAAGCATACATAGAAACAAAATGGACTACACAGCAAGAAAATGAACTGGAATGCTCTACTGATGACACTAAAGAATCACCTGAGTGGCAAAGGGGCTGCAAGCTCCCCATTGTCTGCTGGTATCTTCGGCTTTCATCTTCTGCTACCTCATTGATGTCTGAATAGTCCACAGCATCTTCTGTACTCCTGATCCATCCTATAAGTAAAAGGGGGGGGGGCAGGTATATCTCAACAAAAACTCTCACTCCCTTAAATAATTCCCACTGAAAAGTGTATACATAGTAAATGGCTAGCCTCCTCCCTCCTTACTCCCCATGACCCACACTTCACCTTCATCATTTACCAGGGCACCATCAGTCCCAGTCAATTCTTCATTTGCGGTGAGTTCAGTGATCAGGCTGCCCAGACCCAAAGCCCCCAAGCCTGCCAAGTGCTTCTTACACTCCTGAAAAAGGGACAGCACCAGAGTCAAAGATAACAACTAAACCTAAGCTTCCCACACCACAAGGCTTATTTCCCTGGTCCAGCACAAAGCTGTAAATCCATATTAAATATAACTCTGCATGTGCTAAAAGGAGCATCACATTCCAGAACTGTAAAGTAAATCTTCCACTAAACTCCACATTGATCAGATCTTTATCAATATATTAAGTCCAATTTCATCACCATACTTTACTAAGAAAAGATTAGTCAAAGATCCATCACCAAGATTAAACAAATGGAACAGTAGTTCTCTGAATAAAGGCTAAGGCAAATGAGGTCCCTGGGATTAGGGAAGGGATGACAAGAACTTTTTTTGCTACCTTTTGTGTGTTTGTGTGTGATGCAGAAGAGGAATACTGATCAATATTTTTTCCTTGAGAAAATGAACCTAAATGAAAGTAGGTAAGATCCATTTGAACACAGGAAACAATTTCATGAATGTCAGTGAAAACTGTGGAAAACTACCCAAGAAGTGCACTGGACCAGAAGGGGTCTGCCTCAAATAGTCTGAACATTCACTGTTCTAAGAACGGAGACCTGAACCACACGATTTATCACAGGTTCTGTCCAGTCCTCTTGCTCTAGAGCCACCTCAAGTCAACGATGTCAGACAGGCAGTTTCGAGAATCTCCAAAGTCCTCAGAGCAACGGCTTAAAAGCAATATCCCTAGGTTACGCTATTTTTCCGTCTGCCTTGTTAGGATATGATCCCCAACGCCACCCACATCAGCGCCCCTGACCTACGAGGGCTTGCCTACAGTTCTCTCTTCTTCCCACCCTCACCCAGAACGGAGCCTCCACACTCTACGTTATGCACGCTCTACTAGAATAGGGTCCGCTTCTCATTTCCTCTCCTCTTTACGTTAACCGCGCCCTCTCATAGGGGCTCTATTCTAAGCACCCTCTACTCTCCTCACTCAGCCGCACCACCCCCGACCCTATACACACGCCCGCCCCCTCACATCATCCAAGACGCTTTCCCCCTCCAGCTGTCCGGCTCCATTGATGTTGCCGAAAAGGAAACCGGCTAAAGAAAATGGGCCGCCTCCAGCGGAATCTTCATCGCTGTCCGTGTCTGACATGATGGCGGTTGTGGTGTCACCAGAGGCTGCGGACAGCAGCAGATCCCAGCCTGGTCCCATGGACCGGAAATAAAAACACTAGTCGCCCAGAAGTGACTTACAGGGCTCCTTGACCCCACCAGGCCCTACCGGAAGCGGAATAAGGGGGGGGCGGGGAATAACCGGAAAGACCGGCCGGCCTACGAAAAAGAATTGGTTGCACTACTTTACTAACGGCTTTTGATTCGACCGTACGCGATCAGGAGGTTGGTTATGTGGAAAGCGGTTGGTCAAAGAAAATGTTGGGCCCCGCCCCTTCCACTAATCTGCGCATGAGCATCTCCGGTGCACCCAGTTAGAGTCACGCTGTTCCTCCAATCGGAAGAAACTGCCTGGGTCACGTAGCCTACGTTCTACTAACCGCGGGTCACCACGCCGCGGTACGCGGAAGTAAAGGTTAGAAGCAGTCTTCCGTTCTGTCTGCGGCGTCGTTGCTTCTTAAGGAGAAACTGGCCGTAAATTGCACTGTGCCAGAGGTACCTATCCAAGTTCTTTTGAATTGACATTTCCCCATGGAAATGGAGTCCCCTCCCCCTCGGTTTCTTTCGGGAAGTGTGAAAAAGATGAGTAAAAGGAACAGCCGATCCTTCACCTAGGTTCACAATTGTTAACATTTTTACAGGTTTTATTTTTTTTAAATTTCTGAACCATTTGAAAGTAGGTTACAAATATGTGATTCTCCAGCCCTAAAAATGGACATTTTTCTACATAATCACAAAATCATTATTGCATCTTTAAAAATTAACATTAAATCGTTATCATTTAACATACAGTTCGTGTTTCGTATTTAGATTTCCCCAGTTGTCCTAGTTGGAGCATTTTGCACCTCAATCCAGGATCCGCTGAAGGTTCTTGCACTGCACTTGGTAATCTCCCTTCAGTCTTAATCCAGAAACACCAGCCTTTGTGTTGCATGAACTACAGTTTTTTTGGAAGAATCCAGGCAAATTGTCTTCAAAGTATTCCATATTCTGAATTCGTCTGATTGTTTCTTCGAACTGATTTACGTTAAATATTTTACCGGCCATCAGAAGGCACAAACGTCAGGTTGTCACACTATTGGTGATGCTGTATTTGAGCGCCAGATCTCTCCATTGCAAAGGCGCATTTTTCCTTTTGTAACTAAGTAAATGGGGTTGAGATTCTGTGAATATTCACGCAATGGTTTTAGCATCCTTTAATGATCCTTGCCTGAATCAATTATGTTAGGAGAGTGCAGAAGGGTGATTTTTCTAATTCTTAAATTCCTTCTACGTTTATTAAGTGGATTTATTCAGTAAAGAACTTGGGTCTTACCTCCCTTCTCCCGTTTTTATTTTAATGTGTCATAATCTAGCACCATCATTATCCTTTTTGATGCTCAAACTGTTCCAAATTTGTCCAGTGGGACCCACTTCACTCTGGCTCCTGTGTTATTAGTCTTGGAGTACTTCCTTGCTTTTTGGCACAAGATGTTCTAGGCTTATCTGTACATTTCCTGTCCCAGACCCAATATAAGCCATTTCTCCAAGGAGCCCTGATATCTTTTAGTGAGGCATGGTATTTAGAAACTGGGCCATCATTGCTTATAGGCCCTTTCAGTGGAGAGAGCTAAAAAAATGAGTTAAAGGGCACCTGGCTGGCTCAGTCAGTAGAGCATGCGATTCTTCGTCTTGGGCCTGTGAGTTCAAGCCCCACATAGGGCATAGAGCTTACATTTAAAAAAAATAGAAATAAATAAATGAGTTTATACTAATACCTCCAATTCAAGTCCAACACCACAGGGTTCTCCCTCACTTTTCCCCATTTCATATTTCTGTCTTGCTTCTCTTAACAATTAAAATGCTGGTTCCCAACATCCATATATTGACTCTCTTCAGAATTACAAGGTGGATACCACTACCAACAATAAACCTAAGTAAAGTTCAGAAGTTCTTTGCAGTTTTTTGTCCTTAGAATATATCCTATTAAGGATATATAGTGTACTGTGTGTAAAAATTACTTGAACCATTTTTTTCCCCTCTGTGGAGTTGTTTCTGTTTTTATTCAACTTTACGATTTGCTTTTAATATCCTTTTTTATATAATTTAATTTTTTAAATATGTAAATTTTGACATGGTTAAAAGTCAAAAGTATGTAAAAAGCTATTTCCAGAGAAGTCTTGCTCCCATGCCTATGCCCTCTACCCCAGTACCCAGCTACTCCCTGTAAGTAACCATTCCTTAATTTCTGGTTTATCCTTCCTGTGTTTATTTTTTTATTGAGGTGTAATTGACATATAACATTCTATTAGTTTCAGGTGTACAATATAATGACTTGATATTTGTACTTCCTATGTTTCTTTTTGCAAAAATAAGCAAATGAGTATACATATTACTTCTTTTTCATTACACAAAAGGTAGCATACTATATATACTCTTTCACCTTGCTCTTTTTCACTTAATAATTTAGCCTCAAATCACAGTGTACCACTTTGTAGCACTCTTCCTCATTCATTTTTATTTCTCCTTAATACTTCATTGTATGGATGTCCCTTGGAATGTTAACAGTAGTTACGTTTCTAGGCCAGATGACAAACATCTGCCAAAATCTGCACAGCTGAGAAGCTGCACTTTGGTAATGAAAAGTTATAGGAGAATATAACTGCTATACTAATATTTAAAACAAAAAAGCAAAATGGAATATATTTCTAAATGTACTTTATTTTTTTAAAAACTTTACTTATTTGACAGAGAGAGAGCCAGAAAGCACAAGTGGGGGGCACAGGAGAGGGAGAGGGAGAAGCAGGCTCCCCGCTGAGCAGGGAGCCCAATGCGGGCCTTGATCGCAGGACCCTGGGATCATGACCTGAGCCGAAGGCAGATGCTGAACTGACTGAGCCATCCAGGCACCCTAAATGTACTTTACAGTGCTTCTTAGATGCTTGTGCTTAAGGAAAAGATTCAGCAGGAGGTAGATGGAGGCTTATAGAATGGGGAAGGGGGGAGCGCCTGGGTGGCTTAGTCGGTTAAGCATCTGCCCAGGGTCCTGGGATCGAGCCCCTCGTTGGGCTCCTGGCTCAGCGGGGAGTCTGCTTCTCCCTCTGCCACTCCCCCTGCTTGTGCTCTCTGTCAAATAAATAAAATATTAAAAAAAATAATTCTAAAAAAAAAAAGAATGGGGAAGGGGACTTCACATACTATAAATAATAAAGATGCTATTCTTGACTCAAAACGTGGTTTTGTATAAATTTACCATATGACCCAGCAATTTCCAGCACTCCAGTATATACCCAAGAGAACTGAAAACATGTCCACACAAAACCTTGTACACAGGGGTGCCTGGGTGGCTGTTGGTTAAGCAACTGCCTTCATCTCAGGTCATGATCCCAGGGTTCTGGGATCGAGTCCTTCATCGGGCTCCCTGCTCAGTGGGGAGTCTGCTCCTCCCTCTCCCTCTGCCTGCTGCTCCCCCTGCTTGTGCTCTTTCTCTCTGTCAGATAAATAAATAAAATCTTAAAAAAAAAATGTTGTACACAAAGGTTCACAACAGCACTATTCATAATAGCTAAAAGGTAGAAACAATCCAAATTTCCCTCAATTGTAAGTAGATAAAATACGGTATATCCATACAGTGGAATATTATTCAGCAATAAAAAGAAATGAAGTAGGGGCACCTGCCTGGCTCAGTTGGTGGAGCATGTGACTCTTGATCTAGGTGTCGTAAGAGTCAAGCCCCACGTTGGGTGTAGGAATTATAAATAAACTTTAAAAATCCGCCCCCCCAAAATAGTAAAGCACTGTTTTAGGCAAGGTAGCCCTCTAAAGGGGAACAGAGGGGCCTATGAGTAAATTTCCTAGTGCTGACCAAGAAAATGCATGTTGACTAGTTAAAGGTTATATTCCTGGTGGAACTGAAACTCAAGTTAGGTATTAAGTCTTGGTTTTACTGATCTGGGGCTCCTCGCCTTAGTGGGCCTGTGGTTTTTCTTTTTGACACTATGTACTATAGAAGATAAAAGATACATAGAACTATGGGAATTTAAAGAACACTTTACTTTCAAATGACCAAAGTTCTTTGAGGGAATAGAGCAATTCTCTTACTTAGAGTCAAACTAGGATGCACTGAGGGGAAAAATGGGAGAGGCAATAAATATAATTAGGGGGGCGCCTGGGTGGCTCAGTCGTTAAGCGTCTGCCTTCGGCTCAGGTCATGACCCCAGGGTCCTGGGATCGAGCCTCGCATCGGGCTCCCTGCTTGGCGGGAAGCCTCCTTCTCCCTCTCCCACTCCCCCTGCTTGTGTTCTCTCTCTCGCTGTCTCTGTCAAATAAATAAATAAAATCTTTAAAAAAATAAATATAATTAGGGAGGTGGGGTGGAGGAGAAAGCCTTTCTTGATCTTCTCTGCAAGATAAAAGTAAGTTTGGTTAAACCCCCCCCCAAAAAAAGAAATAAAGTACCCATAGGTGCTGCAAAATAGATAAACCTTGAAAACATGATAAATAGAGGAAGTGAGTTCCAAATGACCACATACTGGGTGTGCCTGGCTGGCTCAGTCGGTAGAGCATGCAACTCTTGATCTCAGGGTCATGAGTTCAAGCCCCACACTGGGTGTAGAACTTACTTGATTAAAAAAAAAAGACCACATATTATTTGATTCCAAGTACATGAAATGTTCAGAAAAGACAAGTAGATTACTAGTTGCCTAGGGCTGGGGGCGGGAACAGGGATTAACTGCATGAGGGATATCTTTGGGGTGAGAGAAATGTTCTAAAACTGGATTTTAGTTGGGGTGCCCGGCTGGCTCAGTCAGTTGAGCATGC